GTTACAAATGGGAACTGCGAGACATTGACTTTTGAAAGAACGCCTGTTATGTCAACGTACTTAGTGGCTGTAGTAGTAGGCGATTTCGATTACATAGAGGACATGTCTAGTGATGGTGTGTTAGTTCGAGTTTATGTGCCCAAATCTAAGAAAGAACAGGGCCAGTTTGCTCTAGAAGTGGCCACCAAGGTGCTGCCTTACTACAAGACTTACTTTGGTATCGCGTATCCCTTGCCGAAGATCGATCTCATAGCGATTGCCGATTTTTCGTCTGGCGCTATGGAAAATTGGGGACTCGTTACGTATCGCGAGACCTGTTTACTTGTGGATCCGCAGAATACGTCGGCGGTACGCAAACAGTGGATCGCGTTGATAGTAGCACACGAGTTGGCACATCAATGGTTCGGTAATCTCGTGACAATGGAATGGTGGACGCATCTATGGTTAAATGAAGGCTACGCATCGTTCGTAGAGTTTCTGTGTGTTGCACATTTGTTCCCAGAGTATGATATCTGGACGCAGTTTGTAACGGACACATACATACGAGCATTGGAATTAGATGCTTTGAAAAACAGTCATCCAATCGAGGTACCAGTCGGTCACCCGTCGGAGATCGACGAAATCTTTGATGACATATCGTATCACAAGGGCGCCTCTGTGATTCGTATGTTGCATGCATATATAGGTGATGACGATTTTAGAAAGGGTATGAATCTATATCTGAAGAGACACAGCTACGCCAATGCGGAAACCGAAGATCTCTGGGCCGCGTTGGAAGAGGCCAGTAATAAGGCTGTACGTAAGGTGATGTCGTCATGGACCAAGAGACAGGGTTTCCCCGTTGTCAAAGTTGACTATCGTCAAGAAGGCAACAATAGGATCTTATCATTGTCTCAAGAGAGATTCCTGGCCGATGGATCGGTGGATAACAATGCGGATAATGCATGGCTCATACCAATAAGCGTAAGCTCTTCACAAGATCCGAACAAAACAATATTTGACGGCATATTAGATGCAAAAACCAAGGAATTTGTAATCCAAAACGTTCCCGAGGGCACATGGCTAAAGATCAATCCTGGAACAATTGGCTTCTATCGGACTCGTTACAGTCAGTCCGCTCTGTCACTTCTATTACCAGCAATTAAAGATCATACATTACCTCCTCTGGACAGATTAGGCTTATTGGATGATCTTTTTGCAATGGTACAGGCGGGTTACGCATCCACGGTAGAAGTACTCGAATTAATGCAGGCGTTTCTGCACGAGGACAACTACACCGTGTGGTCCACTATAGTGAATATCTTAAGTAAAATCGGTATTCTCATTTCTCACTTAGACTTCGAGGATTCTCTCAAAGCGTTTGGACGTAATCTATTTCGTGAAGTTAATGTCAGATTAGGCTGGGATCCTAAACCAAATGAAAGTCATTTAAATACGTTACTCAGATCTCTTGTATTAGGCCGCATGGCAGCATTAAATGATCAAGATACTATCGAAGAAGCGAAGAGAAGATTCGAGCTGCACGTAAATGGCACAACGACACTCGCTGCTGATTTGCGCAGTCCAGTTTATCGAGCTGTACTTTCCGTGGGTGATGCCAATACTTATGTTACTATGTTGAAATTGTACAAAGAGGCTGATCTTCAAGAAGAAAAAGAGCGAATTCTGCGAGCGCTTGGTGCAATCAAAGATGAAACTCTGCTAGGAAAAGTTCTGGACTTCGCCATGAGCGAGGAGGTCCGTGCTCAAGACACAGTCTTTGCCATCATGTCCGTGAGTTTGTCATACAAAGGACGTCTCATGGCATGGAATTTCTTCAAGGAGAAATGGAAGACTCTATTGGATCGTTACGAAGGCGGCTTCTTGCTGGCACGGCTGGTAAAATTCACAACAGAGAATTTTGTCACCGAAGAACAAGCCAAAGATGTAGAGAGCTTCTTCGAGAGTCATCCGACTCCAGGCACCGAAAGAACGGTGCAACAGTGCGTGGAGTCCATTAGATTGAATGCTGCATGGCTCAACCGAGAAAAAGACTCCATCAGAAAATATCTAACCACTCAAGTCTAGTAAAGATAATTCCTTATCTTTTCTCTCCGTTATATCTTAATAGGACATTGGCATAATTCGATCTCGCATAATTTTACTATGCGAATATCTTATGGTACTGCTTGACATTGTGAAAGAACGTTACTTAGATACAGACTTGTTTCTTGTGTACGAAATAATAATAAATAACACTAGTTTACAAGACTTTTTTTAATTATTTTGAATCGGACAATGTATTTTTTACAGATTTTTGAATTCTGAAACGTAATGTCACAAGCTAAATTTTTCTAACACGTTTGAGAAATAATTGACTTAATATACACAATGATTTTTTTTATGGTATTTAACATTCTTTTGTTAAGTTATCTCAAAATTCTGATTAGAGGTCATGAATGTATTCATCTTCTATAAAATGCATTTTTTTTTCTTTCAATGTTTCACGTTTTATGTAGCATGTTTTACGTATTAAGATTCAAAGATAGGATATTTTACGTCTTAAGATTCAAAGATAGGATTTTTCTAAAATAGCAAATTTTTTACCTATGACTGAAGTCATATATATACTTATAATTTCTAGTGTGTTAATAATACACATATAAAAATCATACAACTTTTATTCGAAAAATCTTTTTAATTTTTTTTTTTTTTTTTTTTTTTTTCCCGAAATAATCGTAGTGACTAATTAAAATGAGACACTATGAGTATGTACATATGTATATATACATATATACATATATAAAATTTAGAAATCACGATAAATTATACTATGTGTCGATAGTGCAACACACTAGAAATTATAAATATATATTTTATTGTCTTAGACGGAAAATTTGCTATCTTAGAAAAATCCTATCTTTAAATGCTTCATAACACGGTTAAAAAGTAAGATATTGCATTTAAAAAATATATTTTATAGAGGAGGAACAATACATTCATGACTTCTAATCAGAATTTTAAATAAACTTTTTTTTTACAAAAAATATCAATAATTGCAAAAAAGCCATTTTTTGCAAATTAATGGTCAATTATTTTTTAAATCTGACGTGCTGGACAAATTTGGTTTGCAATATCGAATTTTCAATATTGAAAAATCTGTAAGAAACATCTTGTCTGGTTTAAAGAATTTTTTTGCTGTAAACTAGTGTAGTTCGACAAATCACGTGTATGCACGCTTGATAAAAATACTAATTTGTTTAATGTTGACTAGTATTGAGTGAAAGAAAAACAAATGGAAGAAAATACAGTTTTATATATACAATTATTATACCTCATCGATAAATCATCTTAATTCAACACTTTTACAGTGGTCTTATTGTTTTATTCTTAATTAATCATCATTAGATTTCGTCATTTTAAATTCACCATTTATAAGAAAAAATTTAGAATTGCCACTTTGATATCTCTCATGTACTATATGAAAAGAAACAATATCATATCAAAACTTAGTTTTTCAATAATCTTCTATAGTAATATTTAAAACAAAATCTATTTAAAATATGATTTATATATATATACATAGATATAATTTAAAAAGAGCCAGTTGAAGGTTGATTGCTTTTATATTGTTGTTTTACTCATATATTACATGAGTCAAAAGTATGCTCTCGATATATAAATGAATTATCCATTATACCAGTATCAATTATACCAGTATTCGTGTAAAAAATCTATTCGTGTAAAAAACATATTATATAACATCTTTTTTTTATGAAAGAGAGTTATTAATTCCATTTCAAAATAAACACACGTTAAACTTTGATGAATCATTCAACAAGAAGTTGTTTACGCATTTTTATTTATTTAACCGATGTGACTTAACTATTTCATGGAATGATTTTCATTTTAATGATATTCTAATTTAAATAATTGTATCTTGAAATTTATAAAGTAGGTAATTATATTAAGTACCGTGTCTAAATGGAGTATTCATAAAGAAATTTTAAACTTCGAGATATTTAGAAAATTCCAAGTTTTTGAAATGTTTTTAAAAAATTTGTAAACGTCACAGACGCTTTAAAATTTTTAAATATCTCTTGAACAACTTTTCAGATATTTCTTGCGTTTCGTTATTATGTGTTACTGATAATAGAGAATAAAAATACTCCTGTTCAATGACATTTCATAATGATCGCACTAGCCTTATAATTCTATACAGAACTTATAGTATGTAATTCCATAATATGTACAAATTACAATCTACAGTCTATATAATAGACGATTGTTTATTTCACGTATTAATGTTAAATGCAATATTATGAGTGCCGTAATTACCTCATATATTAATAAAGATACATTTTCCTTGTATTCACACGTAATAGAGAAAAGCTAGCGTCTTTTATTCTCGATAATTCTTTGTTCGTAATTTATTTTTTTTTTGTATTTCCTGCCATTGATTTTATGGATTTTAGTCTTTCAATTTGAACTAAGATTTGGACTAAAGTTCTGAAATTGTATCGCAGTTATCGGAAGGAGAGACAATTAAACATGTTTTATGAAGATGTAAAATTAAAACAAAATTTGACAATTAATGTAAAATATCTTAAAGACATCTCTCTTATGATTTTATGTCCCGATTGCATATTATCTGAGACACCATCAAAATAAAAAATTGCTTCGAAGAATAAAAACGAAAGTGGACGCTTTTTATACTTGATGTCGCGACATTTTTCATGTCAACCATCATAAAATAATTCCCCGCGTTCGGTTGCACGTGCCGATTCGAGACAAGGAAGGAAGATGGTCCCGGTAGTGAATCAGCCTTCAGTTTCATTATCAGCGTGCTTGTTGGCAGTCATCAGCCGACAGTTGTTACCGAGAGTAGCTCACTACTCTCGTGTCGGAAGAGATATTTCACCCTCTATCTGTCTGTTAGAAACGTTTGAAATGGCGCAAAATTGGAACAAAGATTCTATTTATTTTATTCTATTTACTTATTTTTATTCGATACTTTTTGTTTGATTTACAGATCCAATTAATCTACCAAGCTATAGATTCCAATATTTGAAGTCGAATTAAATCCCTTATGACGATGGAATACAAATACAATTATGAAAATTTTCTCATTTTAATTCCTTCCAAATTTACTAAATTATTGAAACAGCAATGTTTGAGTTGAAAATAATTCACTCCAAGTTTACAATGATTTTATTTTCTTAAATTTTGCAGATCTATTATGATATTCTCCAAGATATTTCTTCATGCTACATGAAGTACAAGAAGATCAAGAGTATGAAGGGTTAATATCCTTAGATGTTGAATGCTTTTAGAGGATTGTCCAAATCCTCGGAGGAATAATGAATGCATCCCCTCGTTCATTCGCTCGAAGAGGGGAACGAAGAGCGGACGCTAGCGATTGTGGAAGAGGAAGGGCGGGGAAATAAGGGAGAAAGAGAGAATGTCGAGGAACCGTGGGGTCGGTTCCCGTGGGTATAACCCGGATCGAGCGTTCCCAGGAACGCGCACGTGACCCGCGTCAGAAGACGATCAATACAGACTTTGCGAACTCCTACACCCCACTGGAACGACGTGTCGCCCTTGTATAATCCACACACATCCTTCGCCTTCCGACGAGACCGATGGCGACGGCGAACGACCATCATCCCTCCTCGCACGTGTGCGTAGATTGTTGCGCGCACGTGCGCCTATTTAACCCTCCCGTCCCTTCTCTCTTTCTCTCTCTCTCTCTCTCTCTCTCTCTCTCTCTCTCTCTGTCTATCCCTTCATCCGGCTTCCGTTCCCGATATCATTGAATCTTCACAGATTTACGGTCTCATGAACGACAGTGAAAGAGCAGACACTGCTTCCCTTAAGTTCAATCTTATTTTTAGAAAATTTAAAGAGATATATAAATATGTCTAATTTTAATTTATAAATAATGAATGTGCATTTATATTTATTAAAAATTTTAATCTTAATAATTATACAATATAATATATCATTTAATCTTTTTTAGTCAAATTAACGAGAAATCTCAAGTTTTTTTAAATAAAATTCATAAACGTATGAATAATAAATTTTATTTCTTATTTAGTATAATTTTATTTCTTTTTAATCGTATTTTCGAACATGTGAATGTATAGAAAATATCTCAAAATTGAAGTATATCTTAAAAAAAAGTTCTTCGACAAATTTCGCCTTTTCTTTTAAATTTAGCTCTTAATTTTAAATTATTTCCCATTTTTGTTATTGTTGTTCTCAGTGTTTGATTTCTCAGAGATGTAGATTTTAAGGAATTATTTTCCTATTTATTCCCAATGAAAGTTAATCTTGATTCAACTTACCTTTTATCTTTTTCTAATTCTAAGAAAATCTATTCTTTAACCTTTTCTTATATGTTTTTAAAAAAAGGTGAACAGTAAATTAAATTAAGATTTTAAAGTTAATAGAAATGAGCGTTAATAGAAATGAACATCAGGCCTGATTCCACCATGTAAGATTAACTTTTATCAATTTTATCTTTTTCTAATTCTAAGACTTAGAAATCGTATCTATTTTTACGAAGAGAAATTTGCTGTTTATTTTTTTTTAATTTGTAGAATTAGAAAAAGATAAAGAGTAAGTTAAACTCAGATTAAAATTAATCTTACATGGTGAAACAGCCTTGTCTGTTTCTGTCAATTTAAATTTAATTAGAAAAAGATGAAGAGAGAGAGAGAGCGAGAGTAAATTGAGCCAAGATTAAAGTTAATCACTGCATTTCTACATTGATAGAAACGAGCATTAGTCAACTTATTTGCATGATCGAGATAGGATAAGTCATGAGGAAACAGGAATACGTAGCTATTCGCAGGATAAAAACAAACGCACGAAACTAACGTATAGACACAGTTTGTATTTATTTTTCGTGTGTACGAGTGCAGTACGCCCGCGCAATGATGTACTTACAGCCTTTCAGTCTTTGCAAATATACAATATTTACGCGGGTTGAGAGTCGGGGGGGGGGGGGGGGTTT